TAATAAAAAAATAAAATAAAAATAAATATATAAAAAGAAAGTGAGTTCGATATACTCACTATTTTTCGCTTAAGAAGTGGTAACTTGTTGGTTTCTCCTTCTGAGCTCCCTCTGGTCCAAGGTGGAGATGTATGTGTATGTGTGTAGGTGTCATTGGGAAGGCAAGGGCCACTATTTATAGACTTTCAGGAGGGAGCAGAACGGCCCGTTCTGAATCTGGAACGGCCCGTTCCGGGGTTACAATTTTACTCACAACGGCCAACTTCGGAACGGGCTGTTCCAATTTCGGAACGGCCCGTTCTGGGCTAGAATTTAGAGGTGTTTTTGGAGTTTGGAAACGGCCCGTTCCGGGCTAGAAATTATAGTTCTTTTTAATAGGTTGGAACGGTCCGTTCCGGGCTAAAAATTTTAGGTCTTTTTGGAAGGTTGGAACGGCCCGTTCCGGACTAGAAATTATAGTTGTTTTTGGAAGGTTGGAACGACCCGTTCCAATTTTGGAACAGCCCGTTCCGGACTAGAAATTATAGTTGTTTTTGGAAGGTTGGAACGACCCATTCCAGTTTTGGAACAGCCCGTTCCGAACTACTAAAATCATATAAAATTACTAAATTACCCTCCATAAAAATATAAAAAATAAGGTGTTACATTTGGCTTCTATATTTTTGTCTTTTTATTTTTTTTTGAATATACTTTTTTTTTTTATTTTTTTTTACAAAAATTGACATTTCCCGGACGAAATTGGGTGACTACAATGTTACATGTGATTTATGGAGGATCATAAAATTTGACTATGGATTGATTTAATTTGTAGATCATTACAATGCCCTTTCCTTATCGTATTATTGTCAATGCTCTGTATTTTGTCACCTGATTGCATTTTGCATTATTGCTACCCTGTCATTGTTGCTTTGCTTGCCATTGAGTTCTGTTGTTATTCTACCCACCTTTGAACTTTTTTTTACTTCATTTTTGCTTTGCTCTGCCATTGTTCTATGCTTAATTGCGTCATACTTGGTTCACTACAAGAAAAATGTAAATTTTTGACAAATATAATCTGTCGGTAAAAAGGGATATCCTTTAGAAAGAGAGAACTTTCGACGGATGCAAATCTATTGAAAAAGGGACGTTGAAAAAAAATCTATTGGAAACAATTTTATTCGCTGAAAATTTTAACGAATGATTCAATGGTAAATATCTATCGATAATCACTGGTGGATATATTTGTTAAATTATAGACATATATTGTATCAAAAATTTTGTCGGTATTGTTTGACCTTTCAAGGACTCTATTCCACGATGCTTCACATGATGACACTTCTCGTAACTTCTTGACCCTATGTGGGTAACCCTTTTTGAAGCACGCTTAACTGTGGATTTCTAATGATATAAGTTACTGAAAAGTAGATGCATCTTGTTAATATAAGTAGTACAAATTAATTCCTTAAGTCATTCTCAACTATACAATCTCATACTTGTACAATCTTTGGATCTCTCTCATTCTGATGTGTCCGGACTGTTATAAAAATATAAAAATATATATAATAATTATATTATATTTAATTATATTAACCAATAATAATAATATATTTAATTAATTATTACTTGTATATATACTTACTTTTATAATTAACAATCTACTTATTTCCATTTAATATTAATATTATGATATAATTTAAATTATTTATTATAAATTTAAAAAGTTTAAATAATAATTTATATATTTTAAATTATAATTTGTAATGATAATATAATTTATAACATTATAAATATTTATTTATTACATATTACAACTTATTTATATATAAATACGTATAATGTGTAATATACAAATTAAAATATTAGTTGAATAATAATGAATAAAATTTTGAATTTATTTGAATATTAAGGTTAAAATAATTTATGTTATCTTCTATATGCGATTAATTTGATCATTATTTTATTTTTTAACCTGAATATAAATTAAAGAACCTATATATTAAATGTGAAGAAGATTATGTTGAGGGATTTTTTTTAATCTAATTCAATTCTTTTATTTATCATGTTTATTTATAAATTAAATTTTAAAGTTTTAAATAAATTATTAATTAACTTAATATATTTATTTATCTTAAATTTAAGATATAAAATTAAAAAAAAAATGTATTTATCGTTGTTTTATTTTTTAATTAATTATCAACCATTAATAAAATACTAATTTAAAATCTTATATAATTATATTATAATATTTTCATATCAAATTTAAAATCAGATATTAGTTATACAAAATATCAAGATTATACAATAAATTGTTAATAAGATTCTAATTAAATAGTTTAAAATAATTAATTTTTTAAATATATTTTTATCAAATAATTTATTATAGAGCTAATCAGTTTTTCTCAATATTAATTATTAGTAAAATTTAAGAACTTTTAATTTAACGGTTGGATCAATGAAATTCAATATACACCATGAGTTATTGAGCGGATTAACTTTACCGAGAGTTACTTTATGAGTCATTTAATTCTTCCTCCTTTTCTCTCTCTCTCTTTATATATATATAATTTACTAGTCTTTTTTATGTAAAAATTTATTAGAATATATATATA